TGTTAGGGCCCCACGGGAAGTCCAGGAGATGTTGGAGAAGTTGGCGTTTCTGGATCTGAGGTTACAAATGAAGTTTTGATATTTCCTGGATGGCTTGGGAGTCACTTTGCTTATACAGCTATTTTGGTTCCCTTCTCTTTAAATGTCTTCCCTTTTTTTGGCATTAAATCGTAACTTTAGAAAATTTTGGACTTCACATAGTGTAGTTGGTACATTGTATCATTAACATCAATTCGCTAATATTAAAGCTGATTCTTCTCAATTGCCAGGGCGCAAAGGGAAGTGCCGGAACAAGTGGCCTGCCTGGAACAACGGTATCTCTCTACTTCAGCACTTAGATTTTTTTGCAATATCTGCATAGATCCCTGTTGCAGAATACAATACGATATTGATAACAGGAATTTAAAACACTGGTGAAAAGTTCAAATGATATCGACACAATATCTTAAAATCCCAACATTTTGGCTTGGAACTCTAGCTTTCATCAGGGGAGAGTGATGTGGAGAAATTAAAAAAAAAAAACAATTGTATATGCAATGTAAATTCAATGCAAATTTGAGCAATTGTTGTCTTGTTGTCTTCAACTGTCCTTTCGCGATTAAGTCAAATACTCGTGTGGCACGTGAATGCCATCGTCTCGATGAAGCGGACACTTGCATGCAAGTGTTTTTCTCCTATGCTTCTAGAAGGCGTTGGAAGGGCCAATTTGCACTGGCAGGGATATATTTTAGAGAGAAGCTACATGTTAATCACTTTTGGACTTTAAAGGGTTAATGTGCGTACGTTTTCAGGGAGCACCTGGCTCGTTTGGGTCACCAGGATTATCTGGAGAACAGGTGAGTAATATTCACTCGTGTCTTGGTGCACGGAAACAAATTTTAGAACAGGCTAACAACTAAAAATACCTTTTATTCCAGGGACCTAGGGGACGAGTAGGAGAGCGAGGTGATGAGGGCAAAAGCGGACCAGCGGTGAGTAACGATTAAACGTATTAGAAATAATAACAAGTTATGGGCATTTACATAAAACTGATTCTTTCGCTATTTACACTATTACCATATTAGTTATTTAATTCTGTATCCGAATGCATTATTGGATAAATGATTTTGTTATTCACTTTTAGCTTCTCACGTTATAAATACAATTGTGATCGTCTGATAGTTATTTCTCCGCCGTTTTTAAGAATAAAGATATCCCGCCCGGAACACACTATTGACCTCTAGTACCGCTGCTCTCCTTAACTTGCTCCTGGGAAACCTGGAGTCTTTTTGAGATAGAAAATTTTCCTTTGGAGAAAGAAATAAAGTGTACAATTGCACCGTTTATTTAACTCGATAGCCACTTTCCACCTACATTTCCAACAAAAATAAGAAAAATACACGTCTAGATTTCTCCTTTGACGATTTTAACTTTTGACGGTTCTATTTAACTTTCAGGGACCACCAGGGCCTATCGGCGAAGTCGGTGATGTTGGAAGTCAAGGACAGACTGTAAGGAACGACAAACGCTGACCTTTGTTTGTCGAATTTCCCAACCCATCTGCAGACAACAGAATATTCCAAGTTATAGAGAGGATCAGGCGAATGATGTGTAACATCACTCGTAAGCTTTTTTTTCGGTGGAAAACGAACTAACACGGAGGGAAGTCATATAAAAACTGATCTTAGCTGTCTTAGACTGGGGAGGGGGTTGTTGAATTGCTTACGGTATACACGCTTCCATTTTACATAGCCATAGAATCAACATATAAATGAGAAAAAGCATCTCATAATACAATTTAAAACATTAGTTTTCCATTTTTAATGCAATCATCAGAAGCGTACTAACTATAAAATTGGAGAAGTGAAATCGGAAATGGCATTTAAGCATCCTTTTCAGAGAGTAAAAAAGTTTTTTTATTGAAAGATGATTAGTACATTTCGATCCTATTGGTCTGTTTCTGCATTTAGAGTTCCGTCTCGAAAGTTATTGATGTAACACGGAACATATCTGCAAGTTTGATTGTGAACCTCCGAGTTTGCAAGCTTTTAAAAGTTTCGGTAACACGAAATAAGTCAAAAAGGTTTCGTTATCATTTCTATCTTATTTGATTTTCATTTCTCTGACAGGGAGCCCCTGGACCAGCAGGACCTGTGGGACCCCCCGGAGCCAAAGGAGGAGAGGTAAAACGTCCTGACAATGGTAGACGGACAAGCGATGATCCTTACATACGAGGCTTGAGAGCTGGATAGACGGGCAAAGCCCACAGTTAATACTTAAAGGGGTGTAATTGCGTGAAGAAGATTTCAGGAGACGCCTTACGCGATTGTATGATCATGTATTAACGGTAAAACAACCAAATCGAGCCTCGCTTCAATTTTACGGTTAATTTAACTGGAGATAAAGTCATATTTAACTTCTCTGCTCCCTGTGTTCGGGCTCGGAAAGGTGCTCTATCAAAGAAAAGCAAAAGTCAAAAATGTGAATCTGTAAAGGCTTCGAACACGGTATCCCATTTGATGGTAAACACTTATTCAGGCGAAATAAGGGAGTCCATCTTCAAATTGTATGGATACCAGTGCACTGTCAGGGGAACTTGACAAAATGCTGATGGTGATGAACGATGGCTTAGCAGGCCCCAGTTTGGAGGAATTATAGAACTGTTTCTTTAAAAGACACTTCGATAAGTTTGACGGATAATGAGCCATTAGGTTCATAACACTTAGACTTTCGCTTCTTGTCTCTGTGCAGTCAAATGAATGTTCTTCCTTTGTTCCTGCTCATGCGTGAAATTCTATTTCTCGGTCTAGGGTGAAGCAGGACCAGTCGGTCGTCGCGGCGAGAATGGTGCCAATGGTCAAAATGTATGTGAGAACTATTTTGCTTTAGACCGTGGGGCTTTTAAAATGATTAATTATTTTGCATTTTGTAAATTGAGATGAAGCAGGTTAGAGACTAGTCTGATAGCGTTTTCCGCCGAACGAAAACAATCCTCCTCAGAGCAACCCTCAAGCAGGCGATTATACAGCGCGATTAACTGGTTCTCAAATGTTCCCAATGTAAAACAGCAAACGTAGAGATGTTGCACTTTTAAGTTTCGTAATGGCGAGCAATATTTGCTTCTATTGTTTTGAAATTTCCCAGGGTGCCAGTGGTGAAGTAGGAGAACAAGGAATGTCAGGCGATATGGGCGTCAAGGTAAATGTTACCAAAGGTCTTGAAAATGTTCATTGGTGTATTGTATACGTGTTATTGCCCAAAAACCCGAATATTGGCAAACAGTGTTTTTTATTTTGATAAATTGAGACGAAGTCAAGTACAAATGCCATGTGAAAGCGGAGGTTCATAAAAAGAACCTATCGAACCATCTTAACCGAAAAACTTAGTCTGTGAAGGATTTATTACATGGCAAACCGGCTACACCTAAGAACTGGAACTTAAATGAATATCTCAAATCAAAATATTAAAATATATTCTTACAGCTTAAAAATTTTTTTACAAAAGTTTTGCTTTATGTATACTGGTTACAATTTGGGATTTTGCAGGATGCATGCCTGCTCGATACAAGAATCTAATTCATGCAGCCAGCCATAATTTTAGTGACACTGAACAGTGATGAAGGAGTATAAGACCAGATAAAATAATAAATTGAGTTTGAGTGCTTAGGATTTACTTTGTGACGAGACGATTGGCACGAATCGGTAGAACTCAACTGAGATGTAAGTTAATACTGCCTCACTTAAGTTAACTGTTTGTGTTGTTTGAAAGGGAATTCCTGGTGACGATGGAATAAGTGGACAAATCGGCGCTGCTGGACGCTCAGTAAGTTTTTTTTCCCTGCCATGAGGCCCTTTCACTCAGTCAATGAGTTAATAGTATTATCTACTTACAGTATTGGAATTCATGTGAGTATTCAGTAAAAGAAGTTGATTTAGCCATGTTTTTTAACAAAAAACTGAAGGGATTTAAAAACAGTGATTAAGAGATTTTCCTTAAAGAGTAGAAACTTAAGTAAAAAGTCTTTTTCCGTCATATAGTCCCTTATGTTTTCACAGTCCACTTCTCGAAATAACTCACAAAGAAAGATGATTAAATACGCCATTTTGATAATTTTTATCATCCAGGGCCAACGTGGCGACCCAGGAATCAGCGGAACAGCAGGTTACCCGGGTACTCCTGTAAGTATGTGACAATCACACTGTCTTACTGTTGCAACACAGTTTTAGAGCACAGGTTATTGATCATTGGAAAACCACTAACGACGAAAGTAATCACAACGGCCCCAGCAAAAAAAGGAAAATATCGAAAAAGTTCGTTTCTGATTGAATGAGAGAGTGAAATAAGGCAAATTCATTGCAATCCCAGGTTTTTCCTACTAGAAGATAAACTCTTACGTTACGACACTTAAACCAAACCTATTTTTGTAGTATACGGAGGCACTCGTGTAGTACAAATCGCCATCTTGGATGCCTTTCTGGCCATATGATTAGTTAATTTGTACCCTGTGGTACAAAATCCAGTAACCTGATTGGCTATACCCAAGGTTTCCCTGTCTACCACTCATGTATATGAAGCTCTTCAGTTATTTAAATTTTCTCCGTTATCTATAGTTGAATTCTTGTGACTTCCCGATGTGCTCTGCATGCCATTATAATTGCAATCCACGATAAAACTACTTAAAAATTGGTTCATGCTTTAGCGTGCACTATCGAGTTATGGAGCACGCGGGAAGTTTGGATAGCACGAAAGAAGCGTAAGAGTTGCCCGAGGCGATAGCCGGGGGCAACTCTAGCTTCTTGAGTGCTCTCCAAACTTCCCACGTGCTCCATAACTCGATAGTGCACAGCTGAAAGCATGAACCAATTGTTTTAGAACATAGCCGGTGGAATTGTGCATCAAATGCGACGCGAAAAACGGACAACAATATCAGTTGAAGCGAATCGTGACGGCGCTGATGCCGAGTCTCCTTTTCCTTTGTTTTTCTCTTTTTCTGCCTCATTTAAGAACTCTAGCCCATGGGAAAAGGTCGAAACATTGTCTTCGTTTTCGGACTAGCAGGCCGAGTTTCTGTTTGTATCCATTATTGTCGCGAAATGTATTATTTTTCCCCGCACTAGCAATGGCCGCTCGCGCGAAAAAAAAATTTCTGGCGAAGTCGGATTTGCTGACGCTATCAGCGTGCACTATCGGGATTTTGAGCACGCTTACGTATAATGAATTTGATTGCGCGACTCTGCTAGCTATGTTCTAATATAATATGACAAATTTGCGAACTTGGACTGGCGACTATAGTCCCAAAAGGGCAAAAACCTCAACCATTTCTCCAAGAGCAGGAATACGCACAGTATTGTCTTTCTTAAATTTAGAATTTTTATTTAGTTCTCGTGGGAAATAAACATGCACTACTGAGGTTTATCATATAAGGGGCACAATTACTGAATTGTGACTGGTCAAGACAGAGGGCATTTTTTCTTAATTTTTGTAATTGCCC